ACACACACACACACACACACACACACACACACACACACACACACACAGCAAATATCTGCAGTTGGACATGAGCTGAGTGTGCAGCTCAAGAACACAGTTAGTGTGTGTCTTCATCTTTTAACTTCAGACAAAAAAATAAATCAGGCCCTCTGGTCTCAAACTAACTCAGCTTTGCATTCTGCAATATAAGCTTCTAATTAAATTTAAGTTGTATATTTTTATGTCCTTTGTGGGCGACTGATGCAATCGTTAGAAAAATCAACAGCCGACAGCTGAAACGCTGCTGTACAAAATCAGAAAAGATAAATGTAAAGCTGAACGAGGCTGATGTGGGTCTTGTATTCAATCCCTAAAGACTATTATCAACACAAGCTCAGTGCTGTACAGTGCACACACTAGCCAATCCATATAACAGACTAACCGCACACAACACACGTCTCTGTCTCTTCTAGTTGGTGCGTGGCGAATGCACCAATTAGAAGAGACATATTGAAGGCAGATGTCTTAATCCGCTCGCATGTATTCCTCAGACAGAGGCGATCCCTGTGATCAATAGCTGTATTACCGACAGTAAACCTATGGTACGTGCTCACTATTAACATAACAAGCAGCGTGTGTGTGTGTTTTGTTCCTGAGCATGCCAGACTTTGATTGTGCGTGGAAGCCCAATGATGAAAGTCAATTCTATTGCAATGATGAAATCCCCTGCTGCCTTAAAAAAAAGAATCCTGGCATCAGCCATCAACGAGTTCTCACAGCCGCCGAGATCAAATGGTTACACCGCATCTTAATTGGTATAAATCCAGCAACAAGTAAAGTGAAATGCAACACATCTTTTACTCTCGTCATACCTGTCAAACAACAAATAAATGCCCACTTGAAAGTGAGGAGATAAAGGATTGTACAAGTTATTAAAATAAATCAGTGAGGTGATGCAATATTTATTCTCCTCTGTCTGTACTTAAAAAACATCTGCAGCACTGGTCACGTCCTCTCTTATCTGATCACGGCTCTATTAATTAAGAGGCAACTAAAAAGAAGTCACGGCCGAAATGTCAATTCGACCCTTAAAGTCGAGAACATCAACACTCGGAGGAAGTGTGTTAGTCAAGACTCCACCTCTTCAGGTTCGCTGTGACTGGATGCGGTGTAAAAAAATTTGTTTGACAAATGAGTCAAGGAGAAGATGCAAACAGATGTGTTCCCGCTCTGCTTGGTTGAAATTATACAAAGACTCGTTCGCTGGTTACGGAAGTGATTCAACTACAATCTTCACGTTCATGAACGGCAGCAAAACAGAGAGGGAGCAAGGAATACAGGAGCACTTGGATTCCCTGGTATTGAGCTTAAATATAATTAAATCAAAAACAAATAACAGGAAAGCAACCACAAAGACAAGGACCACATGATCTGTCACACGGGGGCTTTGGCTGTGATTACTACACTCACTGCATCGGTCTTGTAAGGCAGACATAAACAGAGGCTCCTCAGTCATGCTGTAGTGTCATTTCTGCTGTGACATCCCACACGTAAAGCATGACAGGGAACTAGGAGACATGTGATGACTTTCACCGGGGCGACAATTCACACCCTAACAGGACACGACCCCGAAGCAAATACTGTACAACCAAAGGCGCCAGTGGAGAGGCTTAACAGCAACATCAGTGTTAAACGTGTTGAGTGGCTCCGTCCAAGCCCAGGCGTGACTCCCGGCGTTTATTTTTAGAACGGCTTTAAAGGCACAGATGCTCCCCCGTCCAAGTTGACCGAGCTTAAGCAAATCTAGAGAAAAAGGAAGTCACCAAAATCCACATGTGCCAAACTAACACAGATGTGTTTAAGATGACTTGGACGACTCAAAGCTGGAAGACGTTATTCCACAATGTAACGGAGTGACTCGAGGAGGTTTAAGTGAGACTTTTCTATTAAGGGGAACACAGGCTGTAGAGCGTAAAGCACAAGAGAGCAGAGCAGTCTTTACTGTTTAAATGGAGGTTTGTACCTTGGCACAAGTTGACACTTCTCTTACATTTTATGACTTTTTTTTCTCCCCCAAGTCACCATGTTTAGAGCAAATGTGAATAGTTTTGAGGTGTAATGAGTAGCTGACAGGGCTGCATGCCATTCCAAGAGCTGATAACTGCCAAGATAAACCAGTGGAGGAAGTCTGCGTGCTGATAATGAGACATTCATTACAAATCGGTTTATCTGCGGTGAAGCAACCAAGTAAAAGTTGATCAACAGTGTTTTCACTGGCCAGAGCACCGTTGAAGCCTGATCTTTGTGTCCCTTTGTTTCTGTGCTGCTCCACAAACCTGAGAGGTTGCTGTTGGCCGTGTGTTCCTCCAGATGCACTCAGTGAGGCCTTATTGTTGGCTGCTGGTGCCTGCTGAGGGCTGAAGGCATGTGTTAGCAACTACAAGTTAAAGAAGCTAACTGAGCAACAGGGACTTTCCAACGTTTCCTTTTCAAACAGCAACGGGCTTTGTTTACATAAAACTGAACCAGAGCACAATGTTGTGTACAATGTTGATAAAAGTGTTTTGGATCAAAATTATTGCTCGGGACAATTCAGTAGTCGCTGGGTATTGACGGAGACACGTCCCTACCGAATTCTACGCCCTTGCATTAATGTGAAAGCTATTAAAAGTGTATTAATATTAACTTCACAGGGTTTCCGTGTGAGAGGAGAGCGTTCGCTAACAAAGAGCCTCAGCCCTCATTAGCTAATGTCTAATTTATTACCCTTTCCACTGTTGAATATGATGTCATTACAGCCTCCATATAAATCAAGAAACAAAGCTGTGTACACAAACACCCCCCCCCACGTCACCGTAAAACCACTTCCTGGTCACCTTGGGAGGCCGTCATGTGACCGTAGATATTATCTCTGTGGCAACAGTGTCAGACAATGATCACTGGGTGCTTTGTCTATCTTGAAATAAGAAATCTCAGAAAAACACATTAGCATGAGGAATAACTAAGGTGTAATGTATGAGTGGCTGGGAAAGGGAATTTCCCCAAATCACATTTGCCATTAGTGGTCTTGTCAAACTTAGTTTTGGTCCAAGTGCTTATTATGGCTCTAATTAACACACACACACACACACACACACACACACACACACACACACACACACACACGTGTGTGTTAGGGAGACACATGATAAAGGGCATGATACATGTGACACAGAAGACGTATTGGGACGGTTAATGGACGGGTAAGTGAATTCTGATAAATGAGTTTGGTATGTTGCTGTGTGTGTGTGATGTTAAATATTCTTACTTCACTAACTTGCAATAAAACATCCTCCGATATCTGACCCCACGAGGCCTCCTAAGTGGAACATTATCATATTCATTAACAGAAAACTAGAGAGAAAGCGAGGAGCCGGCTTACTAATGCACATCACACGTCATAGATCCACGTCGTTTCTTCCTGCTGCTGGCTATTCATAACCAGGAAATTAGTTTATCTTTAAATACCAAACAAACATAGATGCTGTTTAAATGACCTGAAAAAAAAAGGCCAGTGACGCTTGATATATCCTGTTCAGGTAGCATCACCTGAATGACACCTGCCATTAACAGGGAATGCCATTTGACGGACAACACTTTCGCTATGGCGGCACATACAGTGTGTATTTCATAAAGGTACCAGAGTAATTATAATGCTGTTCTCTTCCCTTCTTAAACATGACGTAGCTCCATATTTAAATGCTCTTATTGGCATTAATAGGTTACTAATTGCAAATGCTAAGACAATAGTGTTTGGGATTTTTGTTTGAAAAACACAATAAAAGGATTAATCGAAAAACAAAATAGTTGCATATACATTTCTTTCCATTGACTTTACCTGATGGTATCTGCCTTTAAGACAATCCACTCAAGTAGAAAATAGACTCTACTTCCTGTATGTATTTTCACTGCATTCACATTATAGAGTAGATATGGATATATAAGTGCGTTTCAGGGCACTATGTGGATGAGCAGACTTCTATTCTCGTCTCTCATTTTGTATCTTAAAATGTTAATGCCAGATGTAAACAGGGTTCAAGAAGATTTCTTTATTAAAAAAACTATTGAACTTGTTATTTTATTGAATGGCCTTGAATTAGATTTAGATTTGAAACTAGATCACACTGCAAGAGCTACTAGGTATATCCTTTATTGAGAAAATCATGAACACATGTTGAACACAGAAATGACAAACTACAGGAGGTCAAATTAGATTCATAGATGAGTTAGGATTCATCCCTGCGAGGGAATGGAGACACAAGTAAAACAACAGCTCCCTCTTCAGGGGTTCTGATGAGATTAGTGGGAGATATGGCTGTTTGCCAAACTGCCAAAAAGCTGTGTATGCATGTGTGTGTGTGTGGGATTAGTGTGTGTGGTGTGCGCATGGTGTGTGGGAGGGGCGGGTGCTGAAACTTGTACTTCCCTGGACAGATGTGCAAACTCCTTTTTCTAGGTACCACAAGAGAATTCAACTAAACAAAGGGCCCGCATAGCAACAAGAAAGACGCAGGATGGCAGTGTGTGTGTGTGTGTGTGTGTGTGTGTGTGCGTGAGGCAAAGTCTTCACCATTGTGGGGTACAGGCAGTGTACAGTTTCACACTAAACACTGGGCAGGGAGTGAGACAATAACAGGGGTTCAAGTTACTGTGTCCATGTTAGTTTGACAGCTAGATGTGATCCAATGAAACGTGGGGGTGTCTTGTTTTTCGCCATCATTCTGAAATTCCGTTTGACGTTCAGGACGGACAACGTGCAAGAGGGTGCAAATATTGTTGACTCGACGTCTGTAACGAGGAGAAAGCTTCTACCCAGAGTAAACTAAATAATCACAGGT